TCACACGATTCTTTGAAACAAAAAAACAGTGCAGCGGCCAGTACTTGGCCGCTTGTGAGTGTCCATACAGGTGTCAACCGGTCGTACCTACTTCGATGCCGAATGATTTAGTTGACAAAAATATGTTGACCCTGAACCACGGGAGTGGTACAGCTATCTTAATGTCCTATCTGCAACAGAGGTGTGACAGTGTGACAAGGGGTTCACTTGTGAACCCCTTGTCACAGTACCTTTCTGGGTAGTTCAGTTGCAAACCCCTGGTCCCTTTCTCTCAATACCCTGGCCAAATCACCTCACCAACCAGGCACGGACGCAGTGGTTGGTCTAAACTGGTAAGCTCTGACACGTTCCTTTCCAAAGTATTGCCATTATTAATCATCTATTCTTTGTTTTCTTCCAGGTCAATTTCCACCCACGTCTCCTTCTGTCGACCTTTTAACTACCTACTCACACCTGCCATCTTTCACCACAGCATTATCTTCCACGAATTGTCCCTGGTTCGTTATATAGGAACACGTTTTCACGCTTCCTCTCAAACCAGATACCAATTCGATTCTTCGTTTTTATAATCTTTCAAAAACCCTTGCTCCTAAACTTGCTTTCGTATTGATATTTGTCATTCTCCAAAACTTACTACTCAACATCCTCCAAAGGTTGGTTCAATCTCTCCTTGCTTCTACAGGAAGCCTTTCCATATTATCGCCGTCAACTGGTTGCTGGTGGACTGGGGAAAAGAGAGTGTTCGGAGATATCTGGGTGTGGTTTCCTAATGAGGGACGAAACACACCCGAAGTCTTCGACACAAAGCTTTTCCCCATTCCATGGGCTCAGATGACGGTCAGTATGAGAAATCGATCTGACCGTCCAGTACCAATCGCTCACGTTTTATGTTTTCACTTCATTAAATCATCACTTCTTGGAGCAGAATTGTATCTTCCACCAATTCACAACTCGCCTACGTTGCAAAGCTACCTCAAAATATCAACTTTGAAACTCTACCAGTCCCTCCTATGAGTCACAAACGGCCAACCAAGAAACGCTCCTCCAGCAGTCGAAAGCATGGCAAGCGGAACAGTAACGCTCGCCACCAAATTAGACCTAATCCAGGCCCTGCTAATCACTTGCATCGAGACAAACAGCGTCAAATGGACTTTGACGCCCTTCGCAAAGAAATAACCGACACCTACGGTTTACCAAACGATTGCCGGATATATTTCCTAAAGGAATACGACATGAAAAATCTCCCGAATCGACCTCGATTAAAGATCACTCACCAAAACTGTGTCATACTGGATGCTGACACCTGGAAGCTCATTCAAGTCATCCGATTTACCCCATTTACCAATATGGATGAGGAAGATATGAACAAAATGGATTTCACCATAAAAACTATCTACAAGCATACTTTAGCTAGATCGACCGTGAAGGTGAATCGTGCGATGAAAGGAGTTGAGCGTCCAGGCGAGATGTACGTAGCTGGCTTCCGCGGTGGTTCGGATAGGGGTCGCACCATGGGTATGTCATTTCCCCTCTGCATTAATCGCTTGTACATAGGTTGAAGCCTGCTATATCTCTTCCTAGGAGTCACCGCTTTGAGTGCAAAGACGTCAAAGAGCAAGCAAGCCATCGCTGAGGATGAAGCCAGAATGGACGATGTCGCTCTTATCAATGACACACTTGCTGAGTGGATGTCCACTCTATGCATGCGGGCGTTTCAATCGAACCGTGATCTTGCATTGGAATTCTCTATTCCATGTTTTTCCGATAAGAAGTGGGCTGATTCTCCAAATGCTAAAGTGATTGCTTCTAGCATTGCGGTCACACGAGAGGGCTTCAACAACAAGGCTCATCCTGACTCTGATGCCACCTCACATGCGTATGGACTATTCTGCCGGATCAATCGTGACTCTGGGGATCTTCATTGGGTGGAGATGTCCGATTATTTAGGTGATATTGTAGGCTGCTATTTTATCATTGATCAATATCATGTCGAACTTTGTCTAGATGCTTGTGATGGTGTGGTTGAGAGCTGTTGGGCCAGCGATGAACTCCATCATACATCTGCTTCCACCACTTATGATGAAGGCTGGAATTCTATTCGGCCGAAGGACTCCCCTATCACTCGTTTTGGTTGTTCACTTCAAATTAATGCGGCATTGCTTGGACGTATTGATGGCTTACTAAGGTTAAAGAAAGGTAAAACGGATGAAGAGTGGGAGATTTACAAAAAGAAAGTTGTCAAGTGCTATGAGCAAGAAGTAGAAAACAAGATTCTCAAGTTACATAATCCTGTTCAAACTAGACGGGCCAAGCAAACCAAGAGAAAGTCATCTTGATATCATACCTGTGCTTTTCCTGAGTTTGTTTACATGTTCAGTATGATTTCATTCTGATCAGTGTGTGCTTTTTCCGTTTCACCTTCTTTTATTCGATCTATTGTACAAGTTTTTCTTATTGTCCATTTGTGAACTTCTATCTAAC